ATTGATTATATAATTATCATTTTAGTATTTATTGCTTGTTATGATAGAGTGATTATATAAGTATACTATTTATGGATATATCGGTTTTGTATTATGTGATTTTATAATATGTACATCTTGCATAAACATTTTGTTCATTAATTAATAATCACATTATGTTTTATAAGATTGTGTTTAAACTTTATGCTTCAATATAGGGGTAAAATTTGAATTTTCGTGTCTCATTAACCGTCGGTATATTAGATACTTGGTGGTTATATTATCATTATTTGTTTCTTTATTTTGACGTTGTAATTGTATTCATTAATTTAGTTGTTTAGGGTTTGAATGCAGTTATTTTTATATGTTGTTAGTTAGTTGTATTTGTTTTTGAATTATATTTATTATTATATTGTTTTTATTTATCGGTTGTTGATTTGATTTGGATGCTGTGTTTTTCATGATCTCATCTAAGGGCTTTTATTTCTTCAGAATTTGCAAGGATCATCAGTTTTTGAAATGACTCATTTGAAAACAAAACATTGAGAATGGACGGAGGTGAGTGACATTTTGTTTTAATTAATTATATTTTAATTTTAATATTTACTCATTTTATTAGTAATTAATAAAAATTTTTTTTTTTTGTGTGCTTTTAGAAATAATATAATGTTAACGAGGAAGGGCGTCGATGGAGGCACGCTGGGCCCAATGAAGGAGGTGATAATTTTATTTATATATTTTTTTTTTTGTTTGTTTTAATTAATTTATTATTTTCTATCATATTTAATATGTTTTATTAATAGTATTTGTTTTTATGTTTCAGATTATGGTTACCAGAATATTTTGGTGACCCGTTTTATGGGAGGGGGAAGGGTTTTTATACCCCCTCCTTACATTAATTTAAAAATTATTGTCGCTGGGGACGGGACGAGATACGTCTTGTTCCCTGGTCAGGCCCGTTTTGGGCCTAGTTGTTAGATTTAATTTTTTTTGTATGTTTAATTTAGGTTTTTAATAATAAATAAAATTTTTTAATTTAATTGTTTGTGTCTGTGTTTTATTTATTAGTTCTTCTTTTTTTTTTTTTTGATTGGCCCGTATTTATGAGCTCCGCAAGTTGAGCACATAAATATGGGCATAATACTCATGGCTCGTATTTATGGGCTTTGTGTATATAGAGAAGCCCATAATTACGGGTTTCATTATTATTTTTACTTGCACTTGTGCATGAATTTAAATGTGGATGGGGAATTTTAGATTTTTGTGGAATCTAGGGAATTTTATTTTAAGTAGTTTGTGAAGTCACTAGCTTTAAATTCACCATGATATATTTATTGATATTTATCATCTAGTGTTTTATCTAGAGACTTTTATTTCAGTAGTTTTGATGAGTGTACCTTTATGTTTGATATTTTTATTTGGGATTACATTGTTAGTTATTGTTTATTTATCAATTAACTATATAATTATTAAAATTTAGTGTTTAATATTATTATTTCATGTAATTTACAGTTTTTGTTGTAATAATGCGTATATTTCGTAAAAGGTACATTATACGTAAATTTAGAAAAGGATAGAAGTATTCCTTTTTTTTTTTCGTTATTATTTGCAATATTTTACAAAATTTTGAATTTATACTTTGATTTAATAAGTTATTACTTATTGATCCTATTTGAGTATATTTTTCAAATTTTTATTTAGAGAATTTGTTTATTATGAGGATTTAACTTTTTAGAAAAGGATAGATATATTCCGTTTTTTGTTATTTTCTTCTGGAAAAACATATATTTTACTATTTTTATGATTTGAACTTTTAAATTAATAATTCTATTAGTTAATTCTTGTATTATATTATGAAATTTAAGGTCGGTTTACAATAAAATTGACGTATGACGTGAATGTGATTCTATGTGTTTAAACTATTGGATAATGAGATAATTGAGATTTTTATTGTTATTTATAATACTCTGACCTTAATTTATTAATTTCATATTATAATTTATGGTCAATTTACAATAATTAATCGTAATAATTAAAGATTATTTGTTAAAATGAGATTTTGTCGTTTTAATTTTTGATTTGTCAATTTCCTAGTATATCGATTATGGTTAACAATATTCTTGTTTAATTAATCAATTTGTTTGTTTATTCATGTTAATTGAATATAATCGGTTATGTACATTTATTATTAAATTCCTTAATATTTTAGGAATTTCTCAACAGAATTGATTCGTTTGATAATTAATCGAAAGTTAATGCCATTTGTGACAATTGAATTACGTATCATCAACATGCTAAAATAACATCTTCATCGTGAAAATTAGCTTCAACTTTCATGTTAATGGTGTAAAATAGAAAGATTTGTTCATTCAAACTTGATTAAAATTACAATTTGCAAATTACAATCATGCACATATATACATATATACATACATACACATGTATACTCATATACCTGCTTGTTTCTGCAATATTGCTTTATTGTAATTATTGCAAGTAATTAATTATTTATGTAGTAATTGATATTTTATTTTGATGAGTTTAAAAGAATTAATTTGTTTTACAGACTGTTAAAGAGAACTTTGTATTTTGGGTGCTTAGTCCCATGAACAAGTGGGACCAGGTAGCTCCCAAAATTCATCTGAATCATTGTCCTTATCATTGAATGGGTTTTGTTTATTGAGGATTTTCTTATTCCTAATTACGCTATAACAGTGTTCTTTTGTGTGCCCTCTTTTATAGCAATATTCACAGCAGTTTTCCCATTTATACAATTTTAATTTTATTAGTGAAGGTTCTTCGTGTGTCATAACATGAATTTTGTGTTTTAATGATCTTGGCTTTTCTTCTTCGCTAAAATAATACGTTTTGTTTAATTCTTTTAATATTATTTTTGCTGCTGAATGTTCGGATTCTCGAATAGTTCTACAACTATCTCCAGTTGCAATGAATGCATTGCTATTTTTATTATCTGTGACGATGCATTTTACTCTCCAAAGTCTACCTAATTCAGGACCAGTGGTCTTGTCCACGGTATAAGTTGGTTTATCCAAATTATATTCTGCAGTCAGTTCTTCCAATATTCCCTTTGGGTAATTAATATTGTCAATGTTTCCTTTGGGGAACACATAATTTCTTACTAATTCTCCTTGGATTGGTGGAGTGAAAATGATTGATTCTGACATCTAAAAATTAAAATCATGTTATTATTTTATTCATATGCTAATTTTAACTTATCTACATGTTTTTGGAACCTATTTCCATTGTCATTTATTAAGATTACATTGTTTTTATCAAGGATATCCACAATTGTGTATGGGCCATGGTAATGGGGGTCAAATTTTCTTTTCATACCTTCTATTAAGACATAGGTTTTGTCACCTATTTTTCCTAAGAAAGGTTTGATCGATTTATCGTATCTTTCTTTGGATTTTGTTTTGGAGTCTATTAAATTTTTGGCTGCTAATATTCTTATTTCGGTTAGTCTGTTATAAGCTCTGTTAAATAGGAACCATAGGTTTCTAATTTTTCTTCTTGGGGAAAAGAGCTAGGAGTACGAGCAGTTTTACCAAAAACTAGCTCATAAGGAGTGAAATTAGTTGCTTCATGTACTGAAGTATTATAAGCAAACATTGCGAAAGGTAATAATCTGTCCCAGTCGTCGCAGTCTGTAGCGTATTGTTTTATATAATCGGCTAATACTGCATGACTACGTTCTAATGCTCCATTAGTTTGGGGTCTGTAACCGGAGGTTGTTACTTGTTTGACTTTAAATATTTTTGATAATTTTGACATTAATTTACCAATAAATGAAGTGCCTTTATCAGTTAAAATTACTTTAGGGGCTCCATAAACTGAGAATAGTTCTTTGGCAACTGCATGGGCAATTGTAGTTGCTGAAATGTCGGGTATTGGTACTGCTATGCAATATTTAGATAAGTGATCTTGCATGGTCAAAATGTGACAATTTCCGTCTGGGGTTGTAGGGAGTTTTCCTACAGTATCTAAAGAAACTTTATCAAAAACGTCTAAGGGTGTGTCTGTTATAATCATTGGTTCTCTGGTTTTTGCCCTAACCAATTTTTGAGTTTGACATGTGGGGCACCTTCTTACAAATTCTGTTACCTGTTCTTTAATTCTAGGCCAGTAAAATTTTTCGCGAATTCTTCTGTAAGTTTTTACTATTCCTTTGTGTCCTGCTATTTTGCTTTTATGAAATTCACTGATGATATCTTCTCTATTTTCTTCTTTTGGAACAGATACTTGTCCATGACAAATAGTTACATTAATATCGCTGTTATAGAAGATTGATTCAATCATTTGCATTAATTCTCCTTTCATTAATTCGTCAGTGAAGTCTCCGTGTCGAGAAATTCTGATTTCTTTTGCTTTTTCTTTATACAGGAGAATTTTTAAGTTCTGTATTCCTGAAATGATGTCTTCCTTTAATAATGGATCGTAATAGTTGTTTTTTACTATTACAGAATATACATTGTGTCTTCCTCTTGGGGTTACTAGAATTTGTCCTTTAATGGGCTTTTTGCCTTTAATTTCTTCTGGGTCTATTACTGCAATATCTATAAGTAATCTACTTATTGGGGTGGTAAATTCACAATCAGCGGATAGAAAATGCACGTAATTGTTCCGATGATAAGTTAGATTTTCTCTATGACTTGTAATATTTGAAGGTTTTTCTGGTATTCTTGAATAACATGAAGGCAAATTTGGAGGAATACTTTCTAGGAGTGTTGTTGTTATTGAATTTGACTTAGTTTTATTTTCTTCAATTTCATTTTCTGTGGTATCGCTTTCTTCTTCTTCATCCGTTTCTTTTTCTTCGCCTGTTTCGTCATTCGATTCTATATCTGTTTCATCTTTTTCGTCAGTTTCGTCGTCTGATTCTACATCTATTTCATGTAATGAAGTGTGATAAGGTGTTGACATAGCCTTTGGAGTTTTGAAAACTACAGGTGTGTTGGGTTCTGATGAAGTGGATCTGAAAGTTACATTTTTGTTCTTGTTTATATCCGTGTGAGCTTTCTTGGTGTTAAATGTATTGTTTCTTCTGGATTTACAACTTTTTTAGTAAATGTTTCATTGTTTGAGTTGTTTATTTGTTTGTCTTCCCACATAGATTCGCCTTTGGCATAATCCCATTGGAAATCTAATTTTTGTGAAAATTCCGTGTGGTCTCCTGGAATTAATTCATTAGCCGCTTTATGAATACTTTCATCGTCGTTTCCGTCAGAAAGAGTGAGCCAATTTCTAGGGGATTGTGGTGAGTCTATTAGCCAATCTTCATGTTGTTTTACATATTCATTAAAACGAGATATGGAATTTCCTAGATCTTTAGCTATTTCTTTTCTGCTTAAGTTCATTGCGTTAGCTTCTTCTTCGTCAGAGCTTTCTTCACTCTCGCTAACTGGTGGTTCTATTGTTATTACAGTGGTTTCTGGGATTGGGAAGTTTACAACTTTGGGTTGTATTTGTGGGGGTGCACTTTTAGGACCTGGTATATTTTTTATAGCCGCTGGTGGAAGTTTCAAACTGGGAAGTAAGCTTCTACTTGCCTTTTGAATGGGAGGAATTGGTATCTCTCTCTCTTCGTCAGTGCTACTGTCAATTGATTCTTCGTCTATTGTTTTTACTCTAGGTTGTAATGCTCGTCTTTGTGCTACTCTTGATCCAATAGTGCTTTGATTAAAATTGGATTTTGAAGTGGATGGTTGTAAAGCTTGTCTTTGTGTCAATTTTGAATCAGTAGTATTCTGATCTAGAGTAGATTTCAAAGTAGATTGTTGTGCAGCTCGTCTTTGTGCTAGTCTTGAACCAATAGTACTTTGTTCTAAAGTAGATTTTAAAGTAGATGGTTTTAATATTGATTTTGGAGGTTGTATTTTTGACTTTTGAGGATTAGACAGAGCGGTTGTTGATGGTTTAGTTGGTTTCTTTGGAATTTTATCAACACGTTTATTGATTAAAATTTTTACTTGTTTTTGATCAACGTTGATTTGGGAATTTTCATTTATTTCGTCTTCTATAACATTTCTGGATAGGGCATCGGCATTGGTGTTTAATTTTCCCGATTTATGCTGAAATTCATACTCGTAGTCTCTCAGTTTTAATCTCCATCTTATAAGTCGTTGTCCTGGATCTTTTATAGTGGCAATCCACCTTAATGGTTCATGATCGCTAACTAAAGTGAATTTCTTTCCATAAATATAAGGTCTAAAGTGATGAACTGCATATAGTACTGCTAGACATTCCTTCTCAGTTGTGGAGTAGTTTAATTCTGGCGCATTTAATACTCTGGAAAGATAAGCAATAGGCAAGTCAAATCCATCTTTTTCTTGACTTAATACTGCACCTATAGCAAAATCAGATGCATCAGTTGTTAATGTGAAAGGTTTTTCATAGTCTGGATACTGTAAAATTGGGTTAGTGCATAGAGCTTCTCTTAGCTCTTTGAAACTAGCTTCCTGTTCTTGTTTCCATTCGAATTTTACATCCTTTTTTAGTAGATTAGACAATGGTTTGGCCTTTGCTGAAAAATCCTTGATAAATCTTCGATAATATCCTGCCAATCCTAAGAATTGTTTTATATTTCTTGGTGTTTTAGGAGTCGGAAAATTTTTAACCGCTTCTACAGTTTTTGGATTAGGTTTTACTCCTTCACTGCTTATTATATGTCCCAAGTATGCTACTTCTTTGAAAAGAAATTCGCATTTTTCTGGTTGTAATGAAAGGTTGGCACCTTTTAATCTTTGTAGTAATCTTCTTACCTTCTTGCCATGTTCTTCTAGATCATTTGCGTACACTACGATGTCGTCTAAATACACGAATAATTCAACACCTTGAAGTCCAGTTAAAACTTGATCCATTAATCTTTGGAACGTTGATGGTGAATTTTTTAATCCCATGGGCATTCTTATGTATTCATAATGTCCATGTGTAGTAGAAAATGCTGTTTTTGACCTATCGTTAGGGTCTAACTCAATTTGATGGAATCCACTGGCTAAATCAAATACCGAGAAATATTGAGCGCCTCCGATGGTGTCAAGTATAGCAGTAATATTTGGCAATGGATAGCAATCACCAATTGTCTTCTCGTTTAGTGCTCGAAAATCAATTACTATTCGCCACTTTTTCTTACCACTTCCGTCAATCTTTTTTGGAATTATTAATAATGGTGAGTTATATGGTGAACAAGAGGAATCTATAGCTCCTTCGGATTTCATTCTATCGATGACTTTATCGATTTCTTCTTTTTGAGTAGGTGAAAATCTATATTGTTTAACGTGGATTGGTATTTCGTCTTTTGTAATGATTTTATGTTGAACCATATTAGTTGGGGTGAGTTGTTCTCCTGGGAGATGAAAACTGTCTGGAAATTCTTTAATAATTTGTGTTACATGTTCTTCTTCGTCTTTGTTTAAGTGATCTAATCTTAGATATTCTAATATGGCTGAAACTCTATCTATTGGTGGTGTGTATTCTTCTTCTGTCGAGTAACCATCTGAATCTTCACCAGGTAATTTGTAAAATTCAAAAGGAATTAACTCTTGAGGTGGTATTTCGATTTCTGCGTCTTCAGATGTCATATTTATAGCGTAAATATGACAAACTCCATCATGGTTCGTTACTACTCCTTCACCTACTAGTAATCCTTCTGCTGTTTTTATTAAAGGCAAATATCCTTCCTTTAATTCTGTATCTAGAACATCAATTGGTATTACTTGTCTTGTTCTAGCTTTAATAGTTATATTTCTTCTTTTGTTAGCCTTATTTTCGGTTAATGCATCTCTAGCTTCAGTTGATTCTTTATCTGCGAAAAATATTGGTTTTATAGGATTTGAATGTGTGACTATTGTATTATGCCAAAAAGAAATTTCAACTTTTTCTTCACGAAGGTATTCTCTACCTAGTATGCCGTCAGATTCTATAGGAAAATCTGTGGAAACTACTTGGAAAGTTATTGGTTTTGTATTTATTTCAATTTGGACTGTTCCTAGTGTTAAAATTTTTATAGGAACGATTCCAGCTATATGTATGGCTTCTTCTTGAATTATGTTTAATTCTGGCAATAATATATTCTCCTTAATTATGTTTACATCGGCTCCTGTGTCTATTAATAAGATTGCTGATGATGTTTGAAAGCTTGGAGAATTTATAATTATTAATGGAGATTCTCTTGATTTTCTGGCGTGGAAGATGTGTTTTGTAACGATAGGATTCTCGCATTGGCTGGACGCTCTTTGGGATCTGCACTCGTCGTCGCGTCTGTTCGTCGAGTCGTGTTTGAGTTTAAATTACTCTTTTCAAATGAATATGGGGATTGAGAACGAGGTGGTGTTCTACTTCCATCTTGATTTTTATTTAAATATCCTTCTTGTGGAGGAGGATATGGGTAAAAGGGATATGATGTATAAGGCATATAAGCGTTAGGAAGATGAAAATTAGGTTGATTAGGATATGGTTGTGGATAATGATTGTTTTGCATATATGGAGGATATGGATTTCTCAATATTCCCGTAGGAGTAGGTGATTGAGAACGATATCTCGTTTGATCGTAAGGATATGAGAATTGTACTCTATTACTTGGACTTCTTTCTCGATATCTATAATCTTGTGGTTGATGTCGTGAATAATGATAAGCATTATAATCAGGCTTATAACTTTCGTGACGTTGTTCGCATTGTAGGGCAATTTCAAAGGCGTCTTTAAGTTTTTCAGGATTTCGTGCCTCTATTACAGTGGACATTGAGTCTGGAAGTCCTTTAATGAAAGATTCCATGGCACAACAATTTAGGGGTTCCATTTGAATTTTAGCATTAGGGGCTCCATATGAATTTGCGAGGGTTGCATTTGCTCCTGCTAATAATTGAGACAATCTGTCATAAAATTCGCTAACATTTTCATTACGGTTCATACGAATTGTGGATATTTCTTGCAAATACCATGCATATGATTTATGAGTGGAATATCTTTGTTTTAAGTGTTCTATTAATTCATTAATGGTTCCGAAAAACTTACCTTGAGTACTACTTCTAGCAGCACCTTTTAACTTAGCAAGAATAGATTTCAAATACTGATCTTCGCAATTCTTTGGAATAGATGATGCAGCATTCAAAATATCTTCAATGAAATCTTTGACTGGCATGTTATGCCCGTCGTAAAAAGGAATATTCATTATACCTTGTTGTAAAGCAAAGCATTCTGCCATAGAATTAACCATAGTGTCATGAAGGGTTCTATTCATAGAGGTTGCAAAGGTTGCACCATTGGTGTGAGTAATATTATCATCATCATCACTTCTGTCTGTATAATTCTTTTGATGTTTATTTTTACGAGTCATTTTGTTATTAATTAGAATAATTCGTTAATAATATCAAATGAAAAAGGTAGTCCTAAAACTCCAATAATGTCTGATTTGTCGTCACAAATTATTGTTTGAAATTCTATTACAGTATAATTAATACAGATCTTTGCTTCTCCGTGTGTTCGTATAGTACCGTCTCTTAAAAAGTATTTTAGTACACGATTTATTCCTAGGAAAGGATTAATTTCGTCTTCTTTGATTAAATTTATTGGTAAAGAAGGATCTAATATAAATCGACCTTCGTTACCGATGAAGAAAGATGAATTTAATAATAATTGAGGATATAATTCGTTATTTTTTATTAAGAAGTGAAAATATGAATTCATAAAGAAGTTCAAGATGGCGGATTACTGGAGGAATCGCGACCAGTTTAAGATACGTGTGAGAGTTGCCTTTAAGTGGACGTCTGACTTGTCTCGTGGCGTACTACTTGTAGCTTCCGCGCGCGAAGTCCATGAGTAGTTTATGTCAATGAAACGATGATTAATTATATTAACCGCGCGAATTTAATTATGACCTCTTATATTAATATATTCTCCTAATCTTTTTCTCGCGCGAGGAATTGTTTAAATCAATATATTTTGTAAATTATTGATTTTAAAATTTTGAAAGATATGCCAAATTTTTAGGCACCAAATTAGGGAAAATATTGTAATAACAAAAATTGTTGTTATTAATGAAAAATATTGCATATATTAATATCGATAGCAGTTTAAAATGTAAACTCACTAGGATTGGTATTTAGGAAAGACAATCCCAATATACCTGTCAATTCGTTTTGTCTGCTATTAATATAAGTTCGAAATTTGATTGGTTTTTGAGCTATTATTATTTCTGTTGTTCCAGAAGTAACAAATGAGCCTGAATTTAAAGTAATCAATTCTGTTCTATCGATTATTATACCTGATGCTAATTTTCTTTCGTTTATTAAATTAATGTTTAAAGCAGGATTCACTAAGAAAAGACCTCTCTTCTCTTTTAAACTTGGTGAAGATATATGAATATTTGGAAAAATATCGGTATTGAATTCGATATTATTGACGTAACAATTCATGGAAATTTTCGGAAAGACGAATTTCGTAAAATTCCGCAAATGCGTCTAATAAATCGTTGTCGAATTGATGTTTCACGTCTTCGCGCTCTTCTATCGTAATCTATAGCAATTCGACTGAAATGATTAGTTTCAAATAACTGATCTAAAAATGGTGCGCCTAAAATGCCAATAATTTCGGAATTATTCTCGTAATCGATAACTTCAAATTTTAAGGAAAAATCATGAAATTCTATTATAGCACTACCTCTAGTATGAAATGAATTATGTCGACCTGTATATCGAATATTTCTATTGATATTGACAAATGAAGATAATTTGGTTTCTTTTATTAAGTTTAATCGATTAGTATTATCTATTAGAAAAATTCCTTTGTGTGCTACTAAATCGCCTGAGATTAATTCGATGTGTGGATAGTTAAATCGATTAAAATTAAAATAATTATTCATTTACAATAAATATCAAAATTTTTGTTTGTTTAAAATTTATTAGATTTATTGATTTTTATGAATTAATATTAATTTTTCCTTTTTTGGACTGGTATACCAAATTACTGCAATTAATATTACATATACTAAGAGCATGCAACAATAAACGAAACACATTAGTTTTAGTAAGGTTTTATTTTATTAATTATTAGAATTTTAAGTACATTTACTTGTTTTTCAAAATTTGTTCGGTTTTATTTAATAAATTTTCAAAGAAATTGGAAAATTCTTTTTGTGTTTCTATTTCTTTTATTGCTATTGAATTTAGATTTTCTGAGAATTTTTCTGATTCTAATGATGTTTGAATATTGAATCTTCGTTGTGCTTTTACTCCTCCTCGATTCTTAATTTTCTTTGTTGTTGGAGTTTTATCACACATCATTTATTCAACTGAAAATAAAAGACATTTTTGTATTTTAATGTCTTTAAAAATGATTCAAATATTTCAAAAACAATTGACAATTTGTAGAGTCTTAGAATATTAGAAAAATTATGAAAGGAACAGATAAAATGACAGGTTCGCCGGACGGCGCAATATGTCGTTTGATCAATTAAAATTCGCCGGACGGCGTAATAATAACATCACAATTTTATCTTAATTAAAATGAAGGAAAATCCTTAATTGAACGGCTCCGCCGGACGGCGCAAACTGTTCTTAATTCAAGCCGAGATTCGCCGAACGGCGCAAAAGCAGCTCAAATTACAGGATTTTATAATGAAATTAAGGAAATTGTTTATGAAATTTATAAACAATTAGGAATTGGTTTGGTTTGAATGAGGGTTTAAGTATAATTATTGAATTTAGAAGGAATTTAGGCTCTCAAAATTCAAAATTGTTTTCAAAATTATTCAAAAATTTTAAAATTGTTTTAGAATAATTAATTTGTTTATAACAAAAGTAAGGAATAATTATTGAATTTAGAAGGAATTTAGGCTCTCAAAATTCAAAATTGTTTTCAAAATTATTCAAAAATTTTAAAATTGTTTTAGAATAATTAATTTGTTTATAACAAAAGTGACAATCCCACCGCTGCCACCAAATCAGCTGTTACGTTCCGAGCAAGAGCGAGGCTTTTAAATAAAATTAAATAATTTATTTAAAATAGATTTTAAAACCAGTTAGCTGATTAATCAGGTTGGTAAAGCCTGATCTTTATTTTTATTGTAGGATCGTGATCACCTGTCAAAACTATGGGCTTTGCGTTAATAACAAGATAAATATTCCTTTTATTTAATTTATTGTTTATAGTAAGAAGAAAGTTACAATTGTTACAAATTGTTACTTACGTTTAATTACAGATTCGTTGACAAAATTATCGCAGGGTTGTTATAATTGGTTTTCTTGTTTTGAACTCGTTTCAATTGAATGAAACTGAAAGTTTGTTTTATTACACTTGTGTAATATTCACAACTTTATAACAGTTTTTGTGCTAAAATAACAGTTTCACGTTTTCTAAGTGTTAAATTATTTATCTTGCACCTTTTTAGGGGAAAGAAACTTGTTTCTAAGTGACAAATAATTATAACTTGCACCTTTATGGAAAGAATTAGTGAAATTTATACTATTAATTATTAATCACAAATACGACAGTTAAAATAGCAAAATTATCAACTCTAAGTGTTAAATTATTTGTCTTGCACCTTTTTAGGGGAAAGAAACTTGTTTCTAAGTGATAAATAATCTAACTTGCACCTTTTTACGGGAAAGAATACAATAAATCGCGTTTTAACCGAAGGGTCGCTCTACAATGATACTGTCCGCACTGAACTACACCGGAACTTTTGACAATCGTTCTGCTTTTTACAGCAGCTTATATAGTTTCTAATCTAATGCATTTTGGGGATGTTAAGTGGTGGAAACATTTTGTTTTGGGTGTTTTCACCACGCGCCGTTTTAGACACGTATACCATGCACCGTTTTAGTCACGTACGCCATGCACGATTTCAGGCACGTACGATATGTAATATGATCTTTTTATTCTATTATATCTTCATTTTATTGATTATTTAATTTTATAATTGCTAATAGATCCATTATTCGTCCAATTCAAACATCGATATGCATATTTAGTTCATTAATCGAATCAACAATCGATAATCGATTAATCGATTGTCGATAATCGATTTATCTCTGATTCGATCAATTTGAATGTATTTATATTTACAATTTGGTGATAATGTTACACATCGACAACTGAACGAACCAATAAACCAATTACCAATTAATTTTATTAATATTAAGTATATGCATTATGAATGCGTTTATTCTTTTTATATTTTCTTTTTATCATGCGTCATCTCTTTCATTCATGGCCTTACACTTGTCGTAAAAACATAGTTCGTAGATTCATCTTACTCTTTCATTCATATGAGTAGTAACAAGTGTTAATGACTCACATGAATGAAATATTAAAATATTTAATTATGCTTTTCTATTTTTATGCTTTTCTAATTTGAAATATAAAATGACAATGTAATATTTTTAAATTATGTTTTTAGGCATGGCTAATGTTACATTTATAATATTATTTAATTGATTATTTAAAGAAATTATTAAATTTATAAGTTTTGAAATATGTCGGGATATAACACTCTACAGTTTTTTTATAATTATTAAAAAAAAAATTGTAATACTTTTTTTAAAATTTTGCTTTAAAACTTGAATACTTGAATAGTGTAAGCCTGTATTTTTTTAATAATGTATTTATTATTATTATTATGCACTAGACAAACTATCATCGCGCAAGCGCGCGGAAATGTCATGCTGCGCTATGTATTCCAAGCAATTTGAAGTCATATTATTTTAAATGATTTTAAACAAATAATTAATTATTACAATTTTTTTTCCAGAATATATTTATATCTATTTTAAAATAAACAAAAAAATCTCTTATCAGCATTAGAAAATGTTTATTGCAAAAGCAATAAAAACTTACTGCCAATTATAAAAAATTCGTCTTATTGTCTGTAAAATATTAATTTTCTGTCTAGTGAGAATATTGATTTATTATACATTTGTAGGTTAATACTAATTTGTAAAAAATTTTATTTATCTCATATAACCTAAAGAAAATTCAATATTCTGACACAAGTTTTATAATCGAAATTAATATCATTAATAAGTTTAAAGTTATAGTACTATTTTTTTATGATTTATAATAAAATAAAATTTGAAATTGAAAAATTTAAAAGAGAATTCTGAATCTTTTTCTAGAAAATTCTTAATTAAAAAAAAAAATTTTTCATTCTTTCTATTTCTTAACTACAATTGCATTCATAAAATTCAAAGTTTTCTAAAAATAAGGGAGAAAAGTCTTCATAAATTCTATCCGTTAATTACATATTTTAATTGAAAATAAAATTGCAACTTTTTAAAATTTTTTTTTGACTAAAAAAAAATGTTCTGTTACGAACACTTTCGAATTTCTTTAAAATTA